TTTAATGAGATTAGCCTCTGCGGATAACTATGTTCTTTTAACAAGGATAGGCGTCATCAAACACATCTTACAAGCAGATACTATGCCATCCCTCTGGATGGTTTCGAATTTTCCGATACAAACTAATGAAAAGAGCCTCCTTCCCTAATGGTCGGTGATTGAGGATGGATTAAGCTACTTCTTACACACCGTCAAAAACGTGTCATTAACAGTCGTATGCCTCCCAAAACTAGGAGAACGACAAGGATTACCTTTTTTAAGAAATATTCTCTGATGTTCTTGCAGTCATCTGGTATAGACTGTGTTACATCTCTAAGCAGCCAGATGAAATAGGGAAATGTTTTATGGAAAAACTCGCTGTTTTGCGATGGACTATACGCACCAGAGACGGTGGATCGCGTCTGAATTCTTTCGGAAAGTTTTCCTATGTAGCTGCAAACCGTCAAGGAATATAAGAGCATCTCTATGGTATATATGTCAACCAAAACTGATACCCACATTATTTTGAGCTCAATGACCTATAAAAGCTCCCTGTTTATTTATCAGAATCCAGTGTTAAAACTAAAAAAAAAAACAAAAAACAAAAAGAGATTGTGCACAACCGTTTTTCTATCTTTTGTTTGAACACAGAGCAAACGATTTTGTCTTGTTACAGAGCCTTCAACAACAACTGGAATTTTGCCCGCTTTTTTTATGCAGACAATCCTATTAACTGTAGTTCTGATATCTGTTCCACTGGAGAGTTGTCAAGGATATTCCAGTTTCTCTACATCACTTCGTGTCGGAACACCTTGCGAATTGTATATCAACACGGACGCTAACAAGACTGTTAGAGTGAAGATCTGATGGTCATTAGTGTTTTCACTATTTGTGGCGTCAATCCCTTCAGAGTCCAGTAACACCACTGTGAATTCTTGTCCATTGGAATTCTAAATGCAATATCGATTGAACAAATTTTATAAAGTTAATAGGTAAACTCTGGACTTGAGGTTAGTGGCCCGTTCAGTTGGAGTTTATCCCGCGGTTTCTGCAGCACGACGCGACCGGGTTTATTTGCCACTCACCCAATACGGGTTACCTAATACATGCATAACAGTGATAGCCCTTTCGCATTTCGTCAGGCTTCCCGGCAGTTCGCCGGTACCGGGCCATTTAAACTTCTGAATGGAGGGAGGCGCTGTGAGACTAAAGTTTCTTGCCTCAGAAAACGGCAAAACGACCCAGCCAGGTCTCGATCCGTACCTTCCGACCGGATTCCTACCGTGTCTACCCCAACATTTTGAAAATAGACATCATTAATTAAAAGCGGTTAGTGCAAGGTTACTTTTATCTTATAAGATACTGCCAAACTCAATGAATAAACAAACCTTGAATTTTTCTGGAACAATCCATATCCAGATTCCCATAGTCTCAGCCTCCATTTTATGTCCAAGAGGAAAAACGTCTGGTTGGTCAAAAGCTTTGCTTAATATATAGGACTTCCCCTTTCTGCAAGGACCAGCGATGGATACTACGCACACTGGGCCTGTTGAAGAATGATATAAAGAAATTCGCATTTAACATAATGACTGATTTAAATGAAGAATACATTTTGCTATAATCACTTGTTGGTTTTCTTTATTGTTTGGCCTAATTAATTGAAGCAATTCTAATTTAATTCAAA